GAGCTCCCGGGTCGTCATCCTCGGCGGCGGCCTCCAGGGCTGCGCCGCGGCCTACTATCTCAAGGAGCGCGGCTTCGACGACGTCACGGTCGTCGAGCGCACGGCCGTCGCCGCGGCGGCGTCCGGCAAGGGCGGCGGCTTTTTAGCGCGGGGCTGGGGCTCGGGGCCGACGAAGGCGCTCCACGAGCGGAGCTTCGACCTGCACGAGGAGCTCGCGGGCGACCTCGGCCTCGCGAGCTACCGCAAGATCAAAACCATGGAGGTCACGGGCGAGCTCGGCCTGCGCGAGTGGCCGCCCGTCGCCAAGGCGACGGAGAAGCCCAAGAACGTCGGCGCGCCGAAATGGCTCGACGACGAGGACACGGGCGCGCGGCTCATGGACCCGAACACGGCCCAGGTCGTGCCCCGCGAGCTCTGCGAGAAGCTCTTCGAGCGCTCCGGCGCGACGCTCGTCGTCGGCGCCGCGCGGGGGCTCGAGACCGCGGACGCGGGCGGCGACGCGCGCGTGACGGGCGTGTCCGTCGAGGACGGCGCGGGCGCGACGACGACCGTGCCATGCGACGTCCTCGTCTGCGCCATGGGCGTCTGGAGCGTGCTGCTGGAGGACTGGCTGGGCGCAGGGCAGGACAAGAGAGCGAAATTCCCAACTTCAAAGGCTCCTTTCTCGGCCGTTTTCCACTCGTTTCGGCTGATTTTTGGACGAGCGATCATCTCTCGGAACGGTCTCGAAGCGTGAATGCTTTCCCCGGAACGCGCGTGCGCGGAACACTCACGTTGAAGCGACGTTGAATCACTCTTGTGCTGCCCAGGCTGGGCGCGGCGACGGGCCTGAAGGTGCCCCTCGAGGGCGTCTACAGCTCGAGCGTCGTCTTCGCGGGCGACGACGCCGTGAAGGCGGAGCCCGTCGCGCTCTTCTGCGCGGAGGACTCGAACTCGTGCCACCTGGAGGTCTACCCGCGCGTCGACGGCAGCGTCTACATGTGCGGCATCGGCGGCTCGGACTACGTCCGCGGCGACCGGCTCCGCGAGGGCGGCGACCTGCAGGACGCGACGAAGATGCGCGCGAACCCGGACCGCGTCGCCGCCGCCGTCGCGAGCTTCAGCGGCCTGGCGCCCTTCGCGCGGGGCAAGGACCCCGAGCTGACGCAGGCCTGCATGCGGCCCTGCGCGCCCGACGCGCTGCCCCTCCTCGGCGTCGTCCCGGGCACGTCGAACGTCGTCCTCGCCGCGGGCCACAACTGCTGGGGCATCCTCTGGGCGCCCATCACGGGCAAGCTCGTCGCCGAGCTCGTCGCCGACGGCGCCGTCTCCTCCGCGCCCATCGACGCGTTCGCGCCGGGCCGCTTCATGGCCCGCAAGGCCAAGCGGGGCCGCGCGCAGGGCGAGCTCCGCGTCGGCGAGCAGTGGTAGGATTCGGTGTAAACGTATCGGCGGGTGGCGCCCTGGTGCTGCGTGGACGAGGGATGCGCCGGCCAGGACGAGGGCTGGTGCTACTGCGAGCCGGGCGCGTTCGAAGCGGCCGCGCGGTGATCGCGCGCCCTCGGCCGCGCGCGCCGATCGCTGCGACGCCGGACCACAGAAGGGACATCAGCCTACGAAGCCTACGCGGGCATGTACGTAAAACACCGGTCCAGTGGGTGCGGAGGCGTCCGGTAGGCCTCGACGAGGCGGTCGACGAGGAGGCGAGCCACGTGCCCGCAATCCCGCACCAACAACACTCCTCGCCGGGCAAGCCCAGCGCAGAGTTCGGCACACAAAGCGTCGCGCGAAAACACACCGTTCGTTCCCACCCCAAATATGGCTCCCGAGAAGGACGTCGAGAAGGCCGTGCCCGCCAAGGCCGCCGGCGCCGACAAGAAGCCCTGCCTCGACCGGGTCCTGAGCTCGAAGCACGGCGTCAAGATCATCGCCGTCGGGTCGTGCCTCGTGATCGCCGGCGCCATCATCGGCGTGCTCTACGCCACCTGCGCGAGCGGCCGGCGTCTTCGCAGGACTTCTTCGGAAGCCGCGGGGCCGCGACCGATCGACGATCGCGCGCGAGGCACGCGCGCGCCGAGCGACGCTCGCGAACGCGCGCCGGAGCACGCGACGCGCCTCAGGTCCTCGGCTGCGGCGGCGGCGGCGGCGGCGGCGGCGGCACCGCGGACGAAGGCTACCGCCTCCGGTTCTAGCGCGCGTCCGCCGTCTCGGCGGGGCCTCGCGCGCGCGCGCTTCTACGCGCGCGCCTCCTCGGATCCTGTGCGACTTCCTGTTGCACATGCACATGCTTCGACGCACGCGCCGGCGGTCCGCGTTCGGCGTCGCGTCCGCGTTCGCGCCCGCGAGCGCGTGCGACGCCGAGGAGGACGAACTCCCGCCCGCCCACCTCTTCCTCCCTCCCCCCCCCTTCGCCCAGGGCTGATCGCCATAATCGCCTGAGATGTACGAGGCTTGCGCGCGATTAGACAGCGCTCATAGTCCCCCCCGCCGCCTACTTGGGCGCGCGGCCGTTCTCCGCGCGGTACTTGGCCTGCTCCACCGGCGTGAGCCGGTTGTACTTGCGCTTCTCCGCGGCGTCCTCGGCGGCCTGCCGCTGGGCCTGGCGCTTCGCCCGGAGGGCGACGTAGACCTCGCCGTCGTCCGTCGCGTCCGCCGCGCTCGACGGCGCGACGGCGGCCTCGCGCTCGGCCGGCGGCGGCGCGGCCTTGGCCTTGCGCGCTTCCGCGCGCGCGCGGCCCTCCTCGCGCGCCGCGGCGCCAAAGTCGACGCCGTCGCCGCTGACGAGGTTCGCGAAGGGCGACGGCGCCGGCGCGGCGCCGCCCTCCTTCTTCGGCTTCGGCGCCTTGGGCTCCTTCGGCGGCTTCGGCTCGCGCGTGATCTTCGGCGCCGAGACCTTGGGCAGCTCGATCTTCGGCCCGTCGCTCTCGATCTTGATCTTGCGCGTCTTCGCCAGGCCCTCGTCGCTCAGCTCCTCGTCGAGCTTGCCGAGCATGCCCTTGAGCTCGTCCGACGACGCGGCGAATGCGGGACCGGCGACGATCGACGACGCGAAGCCGAAGAAGGCGCGCCGCGTCGACGCGGGCGCGGTGGCGGGCCTCGGCTGCGGCTTGAGTGCCGCGACGCCGGCGATCGCGAGGACGAGCTTCAGCATCGTGCGTTCCGAGCGCTGGTGGCCAAGTTGTAGCGCAGGCTCTCGAGATCCACAGCTCCTCACCGGGGGAATCGGACGAATCCGGCCCCCCCCGACCTCGTCGTTATGGATGTCGTTGTATGCGCCCTTGGATTTCGGGACGCCGTGGAAGCTAAGACGTCGGGGATGCCAACTTAGAAGTTATCGTGCGACAGCTGGGGAGCGGTGGCGCGGGCGCAAAACTCGTTTTAGGCGAATTAGTGGCAATTCCCTTCGTCGATCAAGCTCGAAACAAAGGTCGAGTCGCGCGCCTTCCGCCGCTGCGACGCCACCTTGATCACCGTCCGTCCCAACTCGTACGTACATCCTGCTCCATCCTCCTCGCCTGCCCTTCGCGCGATCTCGACGAAGCGGTTCGCGCCGCGCGCCGCGCCCTCGCGACGCGCGACGCCGCGCGCCCCCACCAGGTGCCCCATGAGCGCCGCCGACGACGTCGAGATGGCGGACGCGCCGCCCGCGGAGGAGGCCGCGGCGCCGGAGATGGTGCTGCCCATGGTCGACGACGCCCTGCTCGCCGACCTGAAGGGCATGGGCTTCGGCGAGACCATCGCGCGCAAGTCCTTAATGGGCGGCTGCGCGAACATGGACAGCGCCGTGAACTGGATCCTGAGCCACGAGAACGACGCGGGCATCGAGGACCCCATCCCCCTCGTGCCCAAGGGCCAGACGCTGGCCTCCGGCGGGTCCGGCCCCGCGCCCGTCGCCAAGAGCATCAAGTGCGTCGCCACGGGCCGCCTCTTCCGGTCGATGCAGGAGGCGCAGGCCTACGCGGAGAAGACGGGCCGCGCGGACTTTGAGGAGTGCACGGAGGAGAAGAAGCCCCTCACGGAGGAAGAAAAAAAGGCGAAGATCGCGGAATTGAAGGCGCTCGCGGCCGCGCGGCGCGCGGAGCGCGAGGGCGTCGAGAAGGTCCAGGACGTCGAGGGCGAGAAGAAGCGGCGCGAGGCGGGCCAGAAGGCCGTCCAGACCAAGGAGCAGCTCGCCAAGAACCAGCGCCTCCGCGAGATCGACCGCGTGAAGCGCGAGAAGCTCGCGGAGAAGCGCGAGCGCGAGCGGCTCCGGGCCGAGATCGCCAAGGACAAGGCCGAGCGCCGCGCGCGCGGCGGCAAGCTCGCGGGCCGCCTCGGCGTCGAGGGCTACGCGCCGTCCATCGACAACAACAACGACCGCCGCGACGCGAACGTGCCCGCGGAGGAACAGGACGGCGCGGATTAGGCGGAAAAGCCCGCGGCCAAGGCCGCGCCCGCGCGCGTCGACGTCGCCATGCTCGCCAAGGGCAAGGTCGTCGCCGAGGGCGCGGCGGCGAAGCCGGACCTGCCGCCGGGCGAGGCCGTCGACAAGGCCATCAAGACGCTGCAAAAGTACAAGACGGCCGGCGACGGCGGCGTCGCTTTGAAGACGCTCGGCGCGTACGTGCGCAACGCGGCGACGAAGGGCGACCAGGACCCCAAGTTCCGCAACATCCCCACGGACGGCAAGGCCTTCAAGCAGCGCGTCGCGCCCCTCGTCGGCGGCGTCGCGCTCCTCAAGGCCGTCGGCTTCGTGAAGAACGACGCCGAGGGCCAGCTCCAGCTCGACCTGCCGACGCGCGAGGCGAACCTCGCCCTCCTCAACGAGACCCTCGCCAAGCTCGAGGCGGGCTACGCCGCCTACATCAACGGGACCTGCTAGGACGGTGGCTAAAATGCTACAACGCTTATGTTGAACCTCAAATGAACATTTGTGGAGAAAAAAAAAAGGATGATGGAGCCGTGAAAAGGAGCCCTCCACAGTAGACGATGCTCACCTTCGACGCCCTGTCGCCGTGAAAAGGAGCCCTCCACAGTAGACGATGCTCACCTTCGACGCCCTGTCGCCGCGCTTCGCGCTCCTGGGTCTCGGCCCGTCGTGGATGCTCATGGACGGCGTCTTCTGCCAGCTCGCGACCTTCGACCGGACCCAGCCCGAGGGCCTGGCCCTCGCGACGTATTTGGGCGCCGTGAGCGCGCTGGCGAACACGGTCGTCGTCCCGGCCCACGCCGCGGCGCAGCGGAAGCTGCGCTGGCCCACGCGGCGCTGGGTCGCGTGGGCGTCCTACGCGCAGCTCGCGTCGTGCGCGGCGCTCGCGGCGTGCTGGTCGCTCGCCGCCGGCGGCGCGAGCCTCGCGCTCTACGCCGCCGTCTTCGTCGCGTCCCTCGCGGGCAACGGCCAGCAGCTCGCGCTGAACCCCTGGGCCGCGGAGCTCGGCCAGTCTCGGCGCATCGTCGAGATGATGGCCGGCGGCGACGCGGGCGCGCTCGTCGCCGCGTTGCTGGCCTCGGCGCAGCGCGCGCTCCCGCGGGGTTCGGCCCTCGCCGCGCCGTCGCCCTTCTTCGCGGCGCTGGGCGTGTTACTCGTGCTCGCGTGCGCCGCGCTGCGCGCGCTCGCGCCGGACGCGGCGCTCCGCGGCGGCGGCGACGCGCCCGCGGCGGCGACGAACCCGCTCCGCGACGGCGCCGACGACGACGACGTCGAGATCCTCGGCGACGCCGAGGAGGGCGACGACAAGGACGACGACGACGCGGCGCCGGTCGTCCGCGACGACACGGAGCCGGTCGCGGACGACTGGGAGGCGACGCGGACGCTGTCGCTCGCGATGCCGGCGCTCGGCGACGGCCCCGGCGAGCACCGTTTAAGCCGCGTCTTGACGCTCGCGCGGTCGAACGCGGCCTACCAGCTCACGTCCTGGGTCCTGCTGCGGTCCCTGCTGCCCTACGCGATCAACGCCGCCGCGCCGGCGCAGAGCTCGGACGGCGCGGTCTTCCTCGCCTTCGCGATCAACGGGAGCCTCGTGGCCTGCTTCCTCGGCGCGTGCTTGGCGGCGCGCGACCGCGCGCCGCTCGACGTCGGCCGGGCGAACGCGGTCATGGGTTTTGCCTTTTCTGTCGTCGCCGTCGTCGCGACGGCCTGCGCCCTCGGGGGCCGCCCGCGGTCCGCGGCGCCCTGCGTCGCCATCGCGCTCGCCGCGGCGGTCATCCGGGGCCTCGACGGCTACTGCACGCCCCTCTTCTACCGCGAGATCCACGCCGTCTCCGGCTCCGTCGCCGTGCTCCAGTGGTCGGGCATCCTCGCCATCTGGGTCGTCAACGCGGGCGTCTGGGTGACGCTCGTCGCCGTGGCCCTGGGCGGCTAAAACCGTTAGCCGGACGGCGCGCGGGGGCCGTCGACGTCGGCGTCGACGGACCACGGGGGCCCGTCGACGTCGAAGGAGGACATCCGCGGCGGCGGGCCGGCGTCCGCGCCGTGGGCCGGCGACGCGACCTCCGCCGCGGAACGACTGCGACCCGTCGTTCTCGAAGAGGAGGACCGCCGGGTCGTCGAGGGGGCCCGCGACGACCGCGTCGACGGCGCCGTCGCCGCCGACGTCGGCGGCGACGACGTCCCGGATCGCCCGCTCCGTGGCGAGCACCGCCCGCTTCGCGAAGGACTGGGACCCGTCGTTCTCGTACCACGCGAGGTCGCCGGCGCCGGCGACGACGTCCACGTCCGCGTCGCCGTCGACGTCGACCGCGAAGACCGACGCCAGGGACGCGCTCCCCGCGTCGACCGCGCGCTCCTCGAAGGACTGGGAGCCGTCGTTCTCGTACCGCGAGAGCCCCGCGGCGCCGCAGCCGACGAGGTCGACGTCGCCGTCGCCGTCGACGTCGGCGGCGAAGACCGTCGTCGACCGCGCGGGCGCCGCCGCCCGGGCGTAGCGGCCGACGGAGAAGTCGCCGTCGTTCTCGAACCAGCCGAGCCGGCCCGCCGCGTCGCCGTCGCCCTCGGCGCCCGCCGCGACCGCGTCGACGTCGCCGTCGCCGTCGACGTCGGCGGCGACGACGGCGGCGCCGCTCGTCCAGGGAGCGTCGAGGACATGCCGCGTGAACAGATACCCTTCGCAACCGTCCGTCGGGAAGGCCGTCGGCCACGGCGTCGGCTGCGCCGCCGCGGCGGCGAGCAGCAGCCACTGCGCCGCCGCGGCAGCGAGCAGCAGCCAGCGATGCAGCTTACGAACCATCGGAGTGTTGCAAGGGCAGCCCATTTGTGCTAGGGAAGGCTGCCATCGTGTACGGAGGGTGCGACTGAGAGTGTGGAGTGTCGCAAGGGCAGCCCATTTGCGCTAGGGAAGGCTGCCATCGTGTAGGGAGGGTGCAACTCAGAGTTGTTTCCTTCGGGTGCCGCGACGGTGCAGCAGTCACAAGCGGCCGCGTCATCTGTGCTGCAGCGCAATGGGCCTCATAAGCGTGGCCTACGCGGCAGTAAGCAGCGACATGGTCGCCATCCCGCTGAGCGCCGGCTTCGGGCGCGTCGCGCTGCACGGCGACCGGGAGTCGCGGCCGCGGCTCTGGGCCGAGGCGGCGCTCATCGCCGCCGTCGCCTACCACAACGGCCTCGCCGTGCTCGGCGGCAACGGCGCGGGGCCCTGGCGCGACTTCGGCGCGACGGTGGCGCTGCAGTGCCTGTGCCTCCTCCTCGCGCGCGGCGCGCGGCCCGCCGTCGCGGCGGCCGCCGCGGGCGGCGTCGGCGCGGCCGTCGCCGCGGGCGCGGCGGGCGCCGGCGCCCGCGCGGCTGCGGCCTTGTGCGGCGCGGTCGTCGCGCGGCGCGTCGCGGGCCCGAAGCTCGGCGACGCCGGCGCCCGGGCCGCGGCCGTCGTCGTCGCCGCGGCCGCGTGGCGCGCGATCCCCTGGGCCTGCGCGGCGCTCTTCCCCGTGCCCGAACTCGCGGACGCCTACGCCGTGCTCGAGTCGCTCATGGTCGGCGCCGGCGGCGCGGAGAAATTGCGCACGCACACGGTCGTGCTCGCGTTCGTGAGCTGCCACGTGCAGCTCGGCGTCGGGCGCCTCGGCGTTGAGTACCTCCGGCTGAGCCAAAAAAGGAAGAACGCGCTCCTCGGCGTCGGCGGCGACGGCCCGGCGACGGCGCGGCCCCACGGGCGGCGCGTCGCGGCGTTCGTGGCCTTCGTGGCGCTGCCCTACATGGTCCAGCGCACGTCGATGGAGGCCGTCGACGGCCTGCTGTTTCGACGCTACTCGTTCGCGCTGACGCGGTCGCTGCGCCTCGACGGCGTCCTGGGCACGGACGAGCTCCCCTCGGCGCTCCACGCGCTCGCCGGCAGCGACCTGACGCTGGAGCGCCACGCGGGCAATTTGGAGACGTCCGCGAGCCGGTGCTACCAGTTGGTCTCGCGCAAGGTCTTCTCGCTGCCGAAGTTGCTGCTGCTCCCGTCCATCGTCGCGCAGCACCCCCTCGCCTTCGCGGCGGCCCTGCCGGGCTTCCTCGCCGTCGACGGGCTCAAGGCGCGGTTCCTCGCGGCGCTCACGTCCGCCATCGAGGAGAAGCGGCGCGAGTCCGCGAAGTTGGCGTCGACGCGGTCCAAGGTCGAGGCTCACGACGGGGCAGCAAAAGAGAGCGACATTCCCAACTTCAAAGGCTCCTATCTCGGCCGCTTTCCACTCATTTCGGCTGATTTTTGGACGAGCGATCATCCCTCGGAGCGCCCTCGAAGCGTGGATGCTTTTTCCGGAACGCGCGCGCGCGGAACACTCACGTTGAAGCGACGTTGAATCACTCTTTTGCTGCCCAGGCCCACGACGTCGCCGAGGCTCTGCGCATCGAGGACGCGGAGGCGACGGCCTTCACGCGGTCCCGCTGGGCGTTCCACAACGCCGCCGTCGAGGCCGCGCAGGCCGAGGCGAGCGCCTTGGAGACCGTGCGCCGCTACTTCCGGTGGCTGTACTGGTCCGACTTTCTTACCCCTTTGATCGAGGTCGCGCTCGCGGCGTTATTAGAACACGACCTCATCGAGACGTCGGACGTCTGGCTCATGGCGCGCGCGCTCGAGGACGCGTTGGACACGCTGCTGACGCGGAGTAGGGCGGAGGCGGAGCTCGGGGAGCTCGCGACGGACGTCGGGCGGTTGCGCGGCCTCGCGGGCGACCTCGCCGCGGCGCGGAACGCGTCGACGGCGCGGCTCGGAAGCTTGTGCGCCGTCGGCGATTCCCTGGAGCTCGAGGGTTTGGCGTTCTCGCGGGGGCCGACGACGGTGAATGCGACGCGCTTTGCGGCCAAGGCCGGCGACGTGCTCGCCGTGTCGGGCCCGAACGGCGCGGGCAAGTCGTCCCTCTTCGGTCTGCTGCAGGCCTGCGTCCGGGGCGTCGACGCGCCGCCGGGGCTGGACCTCGCGGCGGGGGGGTCCATCGTGGTCCCGCGGTCCGTGGTCCACGTCTCGCAAAGGACGTACGGACCGCTCCACGCGCGGCCCGTGGACTGGCTCGCGACGCGCGCGCCGCGCGCCGTCTCCGAGAACGAGACGCTGGCCATCGTCGACGGGCTCTTTACGGATTTGGACTTTTATGCTTCGACCTCCAACGTCTCGGACCTCGCGCGCGACCACGACGACTTCGCGGGCGGCCTCAGCGGGGGCCAGAAGGTCAAGCTCGAGCTCGTGCGCCAGCTCTTCCTGCCCGCGGCCCTCGGCGCGCCCTGCCCGGGCCTGCTCCTCCTCGACGAGATCTTCTCGCCGCTGGACCCGGCGTCCAAGGCCGCCGTCCGGTCGCGGCTGAAACGCGCGTGCCCGGACGCGATCACGCTCGCCATCTACCACCACGACGCGGGCGCCTGCGTCCCGCCGGCGGACTTCTTCACCGACGTGCTCCACTTCGGCAAGCAGCCCGACGACACCATGGCCGTCGCCCGCGTAAGGACGTGCTTGCGCTAGCGGAACGCGCGGATGCCCGCGGCGACGGCGGCCCGCTTCCGCGAGCCGCCGACGAGGGCCGCGACGACCGCGTGGGACTTCAAGTGGGACTTCGGCGGCGCCGCGGGCGCCGCGGGCCGGAGCGCGCGCTCGCAGAAGCGCCGCAGGTCCGCGCGCGCCGCGGGCCACGCCGGCGAGAACCCGAAGGCGTGGAACGCGTGGACCTCGCCGTCGAAGACCGTGCAGCGCACGTCCGCGCCCGCGCGCCGCGCGGCGTCGCAGAAGCGCAACTGCGAGTCCAGCAACACCTCGGAGCCGCCGGCCTGGCAGAGCAGGGGCGGCAGCGCCCCGAGCTGGCGCGGCGACGCCGCGAGGGGCGACAGCAGCGCGCCGTCGCGCCGCCGCCGCAGCGCGTCGACGAACGCGTCCAGGGTCGCGTTCGCGGACGTACCGCGGTACATGTCCATGAACTCGCGCCGCGCGGCCGGGTCGAAGCCCGCGGGGAGCAGGTCCGGCCCGACGTTCGTCGTGTCCGTCGCGTACTCGAGCTCCGACGCGATGTCGACCATGGGCGACAGCAGCAGCCCCGCCGCCGGCGTGATCTGCAGCGTCTCCCGCAAAAAGTGCAGCGCCGCGAGCGCGAGCGACGCGCCGGCCGAGTCGCCGCCCAGAATCAGCCGCTCCGGCGGCGTCGACGCCAGCGCGACGCCGACGCCCCGGAGCGCGTCGACCAGCGCGCCCGGGAACGGCGCCTCCGGCAGCTTGCGGTAGGCGACGAAGAGCGTCCGCACGCCGCACGCGGCCGCGATGCGCGCGACCATCTCGCCGTTCGTCGCCTTGGAGCCGATGATGAAGCCGCCGCCGTGGAGGTAGACCAGGGTGCCGTTCAGCCGGGGTGTTCCCGTGGGCTCGAACCAGGCGTAGTAGGCGTCGTCGGGCGCGCCGTCCACGTCGAGCCGCGTCGCCGCGACGCCGCCGTCGAGGCCGAGGCGCCCCTTGAGAAACACGGGCGCGATCAGGTTGTGCGCGCCGCCCAGGAAGTCCGTCGCCGCGCGGAGCCGCGCGACGCGGGCCGCGCGCGCCTCGGGCGACAGCGCCCGCGACGCCGCCGAGCCGAACATGTCGTGGTCGCCGAGGAGCTGGCGCACGAACGGGTGGACGACGCGCTCGCAGAGGAACCGCCGCGCGCCGGGCCGCGACGCGACGAGCGACGCGCCGTCGGGCAGCGCGCGCGCCGAGAAGCGCCGCGGCGGCGGCTCCGTCGCCGCGGCGCTAGCCGCGCGGCCGGCGGACGCGCCGAGCGTCAGCGGGAGCCGCGCGATTCCGAGCGCGCGCCGGCCGAGCGACGGCTCGCGCGACGCGTAGTACTGGACCGTGTCGCCGGGCGTCGGCGCCGCGTAGGAGCGCTCGAGCTTCCGCGTCGCCGCCGCGAGGCGCGCGAGGGTCGCCGCGTCGAGGCCGCGCTGCGGCAGCGCCGGCGGCGCGCGCCGCTTCTGGAGCCGGCGCGCGGCCAGGCCCATGAGCAGGACGACGAAGCGCAGCTGCATTTTTTGTCGTGCGTTCGCGCCGATGTGGGTCGGGAGGTCGCGACGACACCGGACACACGCCCGCGCCAATGTGGGGCGGGCCGCTGCGCGACGAGCACAAAGCTTCCGGTCGATGACGTTCTCGACTTAGAGACTGCGACTGCTTCGCTTCGTCGGGTCAAACATGCACTGCTTGTTGATGTCCCGGTCATGCTTTAGTGTAGGCGCTCCCACCGCGGGCGCGTTCGAAGTGCGCGCCTTCGTGGTTTCGCATTACCGGGCGAGCATTCCACGGTGGTGCTCCGTCCGAGCCCACCTCGCGCTCCGGGCTGGTCGCTAGCCGAGGCCGAGCGCGCGCTCGTAAACGTCCAGCTTTCGTGCGAAGGCGAGTCTTCCGAGGTTCCTAGCCGTGCCATCGTCGCTTACAGGGTCCACAAGGGGGGGGACGTCGCCGTCGCGGATTCCTGGAACTTCCGCCTCGAGGCCCAGATGTCGTCGCGGAACGCCTCTTGCGGATTGTCGGCCGCCTGGGCCGCCGCGGGGCGCTTGGGGCGGGCGCTCCAGTCGCTGGGGGTGGCGGAATTGACGACGGTGGAGCCTTTTGTGCACCACGGGAGGCCCGCGTTGCCCCAGAGAGAGTTTTTGGGCGACGAGCCGCCGGCGGCGGCCTCGGCGGGGGCGGCATTGGCGACGAGGGACGCCAAGCTGGCCAATTCCTGCTCGGCGGCCGCCCGCTCGGCGACGGCGGCCTGCTCGGCGGCCGCCCGCTTGGCGGCGGCGGCTTGCTCGGCGGCCGCCCGCTCGGCGGCGGCGGCCTGCTCGGCGGCGGCCCGCTCGGCGGCGGCGGCCCGCTCGGCGGCCGCCAGCTCTGCGGCCGCCCGCTCGGCTGCGGCGGCCTGCTCGGCGGCCGCCAGCTCGGCGGCTCTCAGCTCGGCGACCGCCAGCTCGGCGGCGGCCCGCTCGGCGGCCGCCCGCTCGGCGGCGGCGGCCCGCTCGGCGGCGGCGGCCCGCTCGGCGGCGGCGGCCCGCTCGGCGGCGGCGGCCGCTCGGCGGCGGCGGCCTGCTCGGCGGCCGCAGCAACGGCGAGCAAAGCCGGCGCGGACGACGCGCCCGCGTTCGCGGGCTTGTCCGCCACGAGCCCGTCGAGGGCGCCGGCGACGCGGTCGCCGAGCGGCGGCACGTAGGCCTCGTCGTTGTCGGCCACCGGGGCCGCCGCGTCCTGCTCGAGCTCGAACCGCTCGAGGTTCGCGACCACCGGGGCCGCCGCGTCCTCCTGGACGTTGTCGGCCACCGGGGCCGCCGCGTCCTGCTTGAGCTCGAGCCGCTCGAGGTTCGCGACCACCTTGGCCGCGGCCTCCCGCGCGGCCTCCTCCGTGCGGGCGCGCCGGTCGTGCGCGGCCGTCCTCCCGACGACGACGTGGCTCGTCGGTCTGGGGACAGCCGAGTTGCCCCAGAGAGAGGATCGGGGCAGAGAGTCGCGGGTCGCGGCCTTCGCGGGAGCGGCCTCGGCGACGCGCTCCTGCTCCACGCTGGCCGACACCTGCTCGGCGGCCGCCTGCTCGGCCGACGCCTGCTCGCCGAGCTTGGTGCCCGTGGCTGCTTGGTGGTTTCCGGGGACCGCCGAGTTGCCCCAGACCTTGGCGACGTGCGCCTGCTTCATGCTGGCCGACACCTGCTCGGCGGCCACCTGCTCGGCGGCCGTCTGCTCGGCCGACGCCTGCTCGGCGACCTTGCTGCCCGTGGCCGCTTGGTGGTTCCCGGGGACGGCTGAGTTGCCCCAGAGGGAGGACCGGGGCGAGCGGCGCTTGGCGGGGGCGGCCTCGACGAAATCCTGCTGCATGCTGGCCATCGCCTCGGACGACGCGCCCGCCTCGGCGTCGAGCAGGCAGTCAACGTCCAGGTGGCCTTCGACGTTCAGGACCTCCTCCGCGTCCAGGACCTTGGACGCGCGGAGCACCTCCTGGAGCCGCGCGACGTCGCCGCCGCCGTCCGCCGTGTCGGGATGGCAGTCGATGATCGCCTTCTTCGCGAGTTTTTTTGCTTGGCGCCGGCGCTTATCGATGGTAAAGAACCGGATGCTCCACTCGTCTAAGCCGAGGATCGCGAGGGGATTCTCTTGCTCGACCGCGGCGGCGGCGAGCGGCGAACAGCGGCGTTTTGGCGGTTGCGGGCTCTGGAAGGCCGCGGCGGCGGCGGCGAGCAGGAGAAGCCGCGGCCTCATGGGTGCGGGGTGACTGTATGGATGCGTGGGTGTGGCGGGACGCCCTGCGGGGCGGCGGCGCGGCCGACGTTTGTGATCTGGATCAACTCCCGAAGCGGCCGGAAGCTGACGTCCCAAGTGCGAGTGCGAGTCGAGCCTGGTTGAGGTTGGGCTGATTCAACGTGCACTGCCTCTTTGACCCTTTTGAAACCCACTAATGATGAGCGCCGAAGGTATGGGCAGCCTCCCGAGATGACACGGACGGCATGGGCGGCCTCCTGTGCCGTGCCTCGTCGCCCGAGCCGCTGGTCCAGGCGGCGAAGACGGCGCTGTGGGTGCAGCTCTTCGCGGAACTCGTGTGCGCCGTCCTCGCCGTGGTCTGGTGCGCCCGATGGCCGAACCGGCGCGAGCGCGGCGGCCTCGCGCAGGCCGCCGCGTCCCTCGTCGCGTCGACGACCGCGTTCTCCGTCGCCGTCTGCGGCCGGTCGCTGAGCGCGGCGCGCCCGAGCGGCGCGAGGCCCGCGGCGGTCTCCGCGGCGCTCGCGGTCATTACCGGGAGCGTCGCGGCCGCGGCGCTGCGGGAGGCCAGGGCAGGCCAGGGCGATCGCGCGACGGGCACGCTGCTGCGCATCGCGCTGCTGCTCCAGCTCGGCCTGCTGCTGGCGCGCGCGACGTGCTGCGACATCCTCTCGAAGCTCGACGACCCGCCCGAGCGCGTCTTCTCCGACTTCGCGGCCGTCGAGGTCGCGCCGCGCCGCGTCCAGCCCGCGCCCGCGCCGCCGCGCCGCACCGCGAAGCCGCCGCCGCGCGAGGCCACCGAGGAGTGCGTCATCTGCCTCCAGCGCGTCTCCGGCGCGGCCGCGCGGCTCCCCTGCGCGCACGTGTTCCACGCCGCGTGCATCGAGGAGTGGCTCCGGACGAGTCGTGGTGCGGCGAAGTGCCCCATATGCCGCACGGCCGTGTCGAGCGACGACTCGCCGCCGGGGAGCGCCGGCTAGGAAGGCGTCTAGGAACTCGGTCTACGGAGGCCTCCCGTTTTCGCCGCAAGTCTTGCATCAGTCGAGGCGATCGCCCACCGCTCCCCCTAAAGCGCACGCCCCGATAGGCTCCCCCGATCACCTTCTAGTCACCTTCTCCACGTCGCCCGCTCATCGGCACGGACCACGATGGCCGAGAACCGAGCGCCCGGCGAGTTGATGGACTGGCAAATAAAGCAGCGCGAGTTCGAGCAGGTCAAGGCCCGGGCGAAGAACGCCAAGCTCCGCACGACGTGCACCATCTGCGGTGAAAAGGCCAAGCTTAATTGCCCCTGCGGCACCACGCAGTGCGCGCCCGGCGCCAGCGACGCGCGCGAACGGGGGGGCGGCGCGTCGCGCGTCGCGTCGCGTCCGGGGCGCGGTCACCGGCGACCCGGCAGGTACTGCACGACCGAATGTCAACGCATCGACTGGCGCGATCGCGGGCACCGGAAGGCGTGCAAGAAGATTCGCAACGAGCGCGCGGCGGAGGCGGCGCGGGCCGAGGCGCCGACGCCGCCGCCGTCGCCGCCGGAGGATGTGGTCTACGGCCCCGCGTCGCGCTCGCACGCCGACGAGGTCCGCGCGCGCATCGCCGCCGAACAGGAGGCCGCGCGCGTGCTGCGCGAGGCGAACCCGGAGCCGCAGCCGAGGTCGGAGCGGTTTATAGGCCGGTGCCCGATCTGTCTGGAGGATTGGGACGTGAATGACATGCCAATCATTCGCTTCTGCTGCTGCCAGCTAGTATGCCCTTCGTGCGAGGAAAGGATTCCTGACGAACTCCCATGTCCTCTCTGTCGAACTCCGGCTCCGCGAGACTTTGCAGAGTACCTTGCTCGACTTCGTCGCCACGTGGAGAACGATGATCCGCACGCAATTTTCCAGCTGGCGGTTTTCTATCGCGACGGCGCGCCTGAATTTCCTATCGTGAAAAACTCCAAGAAAGCAGCGAAGATTGCCAAGCGCGGCGTGGAGGTCGGTGGAACGGACGCAATGATCCTCCTTGCAGGCTTGTACCGGGATGGAGCAGGCGTCAAGCTGGACAGGAAAAAAATGATGCAGCTGTTTCGCATGGCAGCGGACCGGGGACACCCGCAGGCGCAGTTGATGATCGGAATCTTCCATCGAGACTCCGAGAAATTTGACGAAGCGTTCCACTACTTCAAGCTCAGTGCCGAACAAGGGCTCAAACTGGGCGAGCGAGCGCTCGGTTGCGCGTACGCAAGAGGCCACGGCGTGGCTACGAGCTTACTCGAAGCAGTGCGCTGGTACGAGCGCGCGGCCGCCAAGGGAGATCAAAAAGCCGTAGATGTACTCGCCAAGCTCGAGGACCATGGCGCCCAGGACGAGCTTCGGGTCCGCGCCGCCAATGGCGACGAGGACGCCATCGCCTTCTTGGCGAAGTTCAAGTTCAAGTAGGTTAGTCGGGACCAAGTACTTTAAACCAACCTACTAGTAGAACCAGTCGTCCTGGGACGACGGGCCTCCAGTTTCGCCGCTCGAGCCTCGGTCTCGCCACCCCGATTCCGCCGCTGTTAGCGCGAAGTTAGCGGAGCGCCCCGCGGGGGTCGCGGAGCATGCGGGTCCTGTAGGAGAGGAGCATTTTCTCGCGCTCGCCGCCTAGGG